ATCGAATGCCGAGGCAAGGTTACTTGCTCTCGAGGAAGCTGTGACGCAGACTCAAGCTCAACCGCATGCTTTACACGGTGACATCCGTAATTTCTTTAGATACGTGAAGCATAGAGATGCTATGGTGGAATCGTTGTTTCAAGAAATTATTCCCCACGGTCAACGGAATTTCCCTGGTTTCCAGACGAAATTCTGCCGGCATTCAATGCCGAGGCATCTCCAGAGCCTGAGCACGATGCACCCGATCCTCCTGCTGCTGACCCTACTCCTGATACACACCAGTCCGAGACTCCTGAATATCCGCCCACTGTCCCTGTCGAAGAAACACCCAGCCCCGTCCCAGCACCCAATCCTTCTCATGCACAACGTAGTGGTCACCGCACCAAGACCACGGCTGGATGCATTGCGCACTATTACTCCACTTCTTTCGAGTCCAGCCCAGCACCTATCCGAAAGCACACCCGACGAGGAGCTGCTAGCACCTCCAAAGCACCACCACCACGTAAACATTGAGGTACCTCTCTTGCATCCATTTTCATTTAGTTGCATTTCATTGCATAACATATAGTTTATAGTTAGTTTAGTTTTCTTTAAAGCATTGAGGACAATGCTTCCCTTAAGTTTGGGGGAGGTATTGTTCTTGGTAGGTCATATGCATGATAGTATTAGCATAGTATTATACCATGGCATCAGTAAATGGTAGGACAGTTAGATGAAATGTTTTGAGGATACCCGATGATGATAATTTTGTTAGGCTAGAATCTGAATGTAAATGACTGTTGAGAATGATAGAACTCACTCTAGGGCTTGATGCTTTGTGAAAATATTTACACGATTTGTATGTTTTCTATACTTAGAAAATTTAGGAAATTTTTATGAAGGAACTTTAGTTAGTCTTGGCATTGAAATATAGTATGGTGTTTAAAAGAAAAATCATAAACAAACTCCCTTAGAAATGAAACTGTGAATAAATGCTTAAGCATAGCTGTAGAGGGACACTCCTCTTTGCCGTGGCATTTCCTGGAACTTTCTTTAATAAATGGAAGCCTTGTGCATATGAGTGAATGAAAGAAGTCACGGGATGACTCTACTTAACTAGCTCGGGGATGGAAGGTATGCTCCCTTTCATCTAGAGTGTGGGAGAGTAGGTGTGATGAGCTGACTCCCTTCGTAACAGCATAATAATAATAAAAAATCAAAGAAAAGGGAGTAAAATGTGCTTAATGATAAGTAAATGCCTTGACAAAAACTAGGGGACTTGATTAGAAATTGTCTAAATTTACTAAGTATAGATTGGATACAATCACGCACACACACTACCACAAAGGATTTTGACCTAGGGAAAAGTACTTGAATTCTTGATAAGTCTAGCATGTTGAAGCCTATCGTTCTGAGGGTTGAAATTCAATTTTGTCCTACTGTCTTACTATCGAACTTTGCCATGACATTATGCTTATGTAACTGCTATCCATTGCTTGAGGACAAGCAATAGCTTAAGTTTGGGGGTGTGTTAACTTCCTAAAAAGGCTACTTTTGAAGCCTTTTTCACTTAAGTTATTGTTTATTTAAAAAGCTAATTTTAGTCATTTTAGGATCATGTAGTTGCATATAGTTGCATTTGTGGTGGTTGTGCTATTTTATTTCTTAATGGTGCTGTTTGAGGGAAAGGTACAGTTTGTCTATGGTGTGTAGGGAATAGTAAAAAAAAGGATTCTTTGGGAAGTAATGCAGTGGCATCACACGTTGCTAAAGCAGATTGAAATGCCTTGGCATTTATGGCGTAGAAAAAGACAAAAAGATATTTCTGCATAAGGACAACTGGCACTGGACAGCTGTCTCTGCACGTGAAGGACTGCTGTAACCGCCTGCCAGAGCTGCCAAAGGACCACTGCCACTTGGAGGATAAGGTTCATGCACAACATGTGATTCTAGGGGTATGAGGGGTATTTTGCACCCAACAACCTCATCATTACCCCTAGATATTTTTATTATATATGACACCTCATGGGAGAGAAAAAAAAGGGGGGACAGAGAGCACACGCATAGAGCAGAAAAAAATCACATTTTTATTTTCTCTTTTCCTTTCTTCTTCCTTGGGATATTCCTCCATTGATAAAGCTCCAAGGAGTGGCAAGCTAGGCGCCGGAAGGAGCTAGTGAGCTAGGTAGTTCGTGGTGGCCGAGAGGAGACCTCCGGTGGCGTGTCGAAGGCTTCTTCTCACTTCCCTTTTGCTGCTATTTTTCTATTAATTTGTGGGTTGTTGGAACGAATATTTTCATGACTTTGTGTTTGGATATTTCGAACCCCACCATGAACTAACTTATTTGGTGGTGGTTGGTTGAACGATTGTTTAAACTTTATTTTTTAGGGTATATTTAAGTTTATTTTGGGTTCTTTATTTGCTTTGCTTATGAATGCTTCACCATCTAGGCTTGTAAGAGGCATGGAAATGTCCATCTCTTAGATGAAGGTTAGGTATTCGGAAGAATCCTAAGCTAAAAATACTTGTAAGTATTCGGAAGAAACGCAAGATAAGATCCTCATAAGTAATGGGTTATGGTATTTTCAAGGGGTTTTGAACCGGCTTAGGAATATTATAACTTAATCCCTTAGATCTCGGAAGAGACTAGGATAGGATTTCAACGACTAAAAAGGGTGTGTTTATCAATAGGGTAGGCTGTCCAACATCGTTTGAGTGAGAGCAGATGCCTTGGCATCCTATTCTGTTAGGTTCTTTTGAATACCTTAGGAAAGCCCTGTCGAGTAAGTAAAGACAAGATAGCTTAAATATACTTGAGAAATAAGTTTAGCAACCTTAGACCAATCCTTACCATTCATTTCATTGGAAGCTTGTCACGTGAGGATTATTTTCTTCTTATTTTATTTATTTTATTTTTTATTTATTTACTGTCTTTACCATTTCTCATTGCCTTGACATTTCACCATACTCAATATTAAACATCCATCATTGCCACTGCATTTCCATTTGCTACACCATCACACCATCAATCCACATTCACCAGCATACACATTTCCATTACCGTGACATTTGTATATATCAAGACTAACTATACTTAGATAATTTAGTGCGTTGCTTTGGTTAGACTTTCGTAATTTCACCCAATCCCTGTGGAGACGATACTCACTCATCATTATATTACTTGAGCGATTGTGTATACTTGCACATTATTTGCATATATTTTATAGTACTCACAACACGCGAACAAACTCCCATCAAAACCTATCCTCCTATAGGAAGGGAGACACATTGCAAGTCAAACTATATGTAGTGAAGTCAACTCCAATGATTCTGAAACCCAGAAAATCCACCTGTTAATTAACAACGTAATTTAGTTTCGATCAGAGGTTTCTTGTCCGAATGAATAGCATAAATTCAAACCCTACATAACTCCTTCGTATTCTGGTTAACTACCGAAGATTGAACCCTCACAATCTTAGTAGGATGTAGTACACGAGCGTTATCGGTAGTGCTATCAACCCTAATGCTGTAGTGACAGTGAGGCACAACTCGTACTTTTTGAGCCCCGTGTGATTTGGTTCATTACCTCAATTTGTTCGGTTGGGAGGGAGACTAGAGTTATCTCAAATCGGTTTATGTTTGTCAGGCGAAAACAAGCTCAAGTATTGTAAGAGAATAAGATCATCTCTGATTTACAAATAAAGTGTCGAAATTCGAATATATTATTACGAAAAAAAAGTAAACATTGTAGACGTTAAGATTCGAATTCGATCAATATTATCTGTTAAGACAATTATATGATTTAATGAAACAAACTCGAAATCGAAACCTAAATCCGATTTGGATAGTAGAGTATTAAATATGTTAAATTTATAATAAAAAATGAAAGTTTAGATACTAAAACAGGCCAAAACTGATAGTTTAAGTATTAAATATGTTAAATTTTTAATGGCGGGTATTAAAATAAAATAAAAACTAAAAGTAAAGTATGGTTTTAAAAAAATTGAAAGTTTAGATGCTAAAACGGACCAAAACTGATAAGTTAAATACTAAATACATAGTTTGCCCAATTTTTTTTTTAACAAAATGATGATTACGAGAGCAAAAAAGTTGCAGATTTTGTTGAAGATGGAGGTCGGTTGTTTCGTCCTTGGACTTCTCAGATCCTAGTTTCGGTTGCAGGGGTTTGAGATGCTTTGAGGTCTAGGAAGGACAAGGTTGTGCGGCATAAGTAGGTGTGGCATCGGTTTCATATTTCGAAGCATATGGTTATCTCTTGGATGACCGTTTTAAACAAGCTGCCTACAAGGGATAGGGTGATTTTTTTGGGTCTGGTTATTGATGCTGGTTGCATTCTTTGTGGGAGTGGGTTGGAGTCGAGGGATCACAACTTCTTTGAATGCCCTTTCTCCAAGTCACTGGGTGGGTGTGCTGCAGATTTGCCACTTGCAGCGTGTGGTGCGAGACTGAAATTGGGAAGTTAGGTGGGTTATGAGATGTCTCAAGGGGAGGTCGCTTCTTATATTTGTTATGGAAATTGCTTGGAACTCCTTGATTTATCATGTATAGAGGGAAGGGAACTTTAGTATATTTCAACATAAGAGTGTGCAGGCTGATGATATAGTTCGATATATTATGGAGACGATTAGGTGTAAATTGATAGGTCTGCCTTTAGATGGAATGAAGCATACTAATAGATTGTTTTGAATTAGTTTTCCTTAAATAAAGCATTTATCAAAAAATAGCAGATTTTCCAATAACTTTTCGGCTTCAGGAGATGGATTTGTTGTTGGCTACTAGCACTTAATATATATAGGTTAAGATCCACTTACACAATATAAATTTTTTTATTTTTACACAGATTTAATATCGTTTGATTGATGATGAAAATATATATGAAGAGACAATAATAAAATATCAAAAATAAAAGTAAAATAAAATCCCTACGTAGATTAGATGGCCAATATGTAGTATCTATCCCTTACAAATTGTGTGAAACTAATATGAACATACCCTAAATCGTTTCCCTTTTTTCTTTTTTTAAATTAAGTTGATAAACTTGGTTACCCGTTAGCAAGCCGCCGAAGATGGCCATGATTGGAGAGCTGATGTCCCAACTTTAGGCGACAATGCAGCCGCAGTGGTGACAGTGGTGGCAGCGACAGTCATTTTCGTGGAGCCCTTGTCAAGGGCAGATGTTGTAGTGGTAGTCACACGTTCACACTGAGGACACATCGTAAGGGACGACGCCGGCAGAGGCTCACAACTGTGAGGCGAGATCACTGTCGGAGGCACTACTTTCATCGCCCGGAGCTCCTCCACCTCCCGTTGAAGCCTTCGGTTCTGCTCCGTCAGCGATCCGAACCATCTCTTCAAGTACTCGCATTCCATCTCATTTTGCTTCAACTTGCTCCTGTATACAATGTAAGAGTTAGATAATTCGACTTTACATATTATTAATGAATCAGATAATGATGATACATAGAATATACGAATATAATATCATTGTACAAAGTATTTTATACTTCCATGTAGCGTGATAAACCTAGCTAGTTCCTTAAGAACAGATACTGAATTTAGCTATGTCAAAGTTGAAAATGTTCTTATATAAGTAAAATATTTTCTTGTGATTTTCTTTTCATTCTTTACCTCTTTTATCCAGTAGTAAATTCAAATTTTGATTTCATTTCATATACAATCCGAGTTCATTTATTACCATATTAAATGCTAACCATTGCATACAGACAAAACCTAATAAAAGGACGTATCTGATAATGATGATTCATTAACGCATCATCATGCATGGCTGAGTCCAAAGAATGATGGGTCAAAGAAACAATTTGATGATGATGATACGATCCGACGGTCAGAAACAGGCATGCATATAAGTATAGGGTACCTGGCCCTACGATTCTGGAACCAAACTTCAACCTGCCTTGGCCTAAGCTTGAGTTGCAAAGCCAATGCCTCTTTCTGCTTCTGGAAAATACACGCACAAAATCCAAAAGGACATTAAATATAAAGATATGAGGGTTTATTATTTTATGTTTAAAAAGTGGAAAATGTTGGGTGGTTTGATGTTGGGTAATTAATATAATACGTTTTTTTTTCCGAAAAAAATTCTACATACAGGGTTTAGGGTATGGTTATGTCTGAAACTTTCTTCCAGTAGGCGAGACTGTTCTTTCGCCAGCCGGAGCTTCTTCCGAGGAGCGGCGGCTCCGCCGTTAGTGTTGCAGCTTTCCTCTTCGTCTTCCATGCTTGCCGTGATCCATTCATCTTCTCCGCCTGGTGTTTGGTTTATATCAAAATCTCTCACCATGGAACCCCCTCGATCACCTTTTTACCATATTAATATTAAAATATATGCAGAATCAATCAATCTGAAGAAAATACCCTTTTCCAGAAACCATGCATGGAATCATCTGAGCTTAGAAAAAGATCAACAACTGATGAATCTTTAACATATATGTTTGTGTGTGTGAGTTTGATTTTGGCTTACCAGAAGGAGGAGAAGGAGAAGAAGCGAAGCCAGGGACAGATATCGTCAACTCCAAGTGTGAAGAACAGATGGGTAAAACCGCCATGAAAGTTGCAGGTGAAAGAAAGAAGATTAAAAGGTAAAGTTATAACAAAAAAGATTATTAAATAAATAGGAGGAAAAAAAGAGGAAAGTAAAAGGAGACAAAGATGAAGCAGAAGAATCTGAAAGGAAACGAATGAGAAAAACAGGAATGGGGGGGGGTGTTATAGACAAAAGTCTTTTAAGCAATAAATAAAGGAAGCAAAATAAGAATTGAAATCCATTGACGGAGCTAGTGCTACATTGGCTAGGGTTTTTGACTGTGGTCATTAAAGTCAAAGTCCATGACCCATCTGATGTGAGACACGTGTCATGTCGTTTCAGATCAGATACTAACAAATCTATGTGTAGTACAATATGGGTAGATTCTCTGTTTTATAAAGTGAAGAGTCATTGTTTGGTTCAAAGGTCAGCTTAAAATGATTGGGGAGCCTTAGGCTGGGTCCCCCCTCCCCTCCCATTTTCATGCTCATTAAATTTTAAAAATAGGTAAAAAATCATCAAAGGTCCATGTACTTTTGAAGAAAATCAGTATAGTTCTCATATTATTTCTATCTCGATGTTGCCCTCCAATTAAGAAACTAAATTCGATGTAGTCATTTGATCGATATTTTTTGTCGTTTTACCGTTACGGTGCTGACGTGGCAGTTCATAGTGATTGATAACGTAACGAATAAAATGACAGATGGGCCAAATTGATAACTCAAATATGACAAATAGACTGCCACGTCAGTACAACGGACCACAACGTCAGCACCATGAACTGTCAAATTAACATCGTATAGATTAAATGACGAAAAACATTAATCAAAGAACCACATTATGGTTGATTTCTTAGTTAGAGGAACACAATAAGAGAAAACTAATGCGAGGACACATTGATTTTTTTCTTTCAAAAGTACATCAACACAAGCCTTTTTGCCTTAAAAGATATAAAATGATTATTAAATTTATCATATCGTTATAAAATGTATTTTGATGTTATAATAAACACAAAACTTTAACAAATTTAAATGATTATTTTATAAAAATTTAAAATTTTAATATCTAAAATTATAATTCAAATATAATTGATTGACCTCTAATGTACTTTTAACTCTTTTATTTATGCTTCTGGAATCTCACTCTTCTTTATTACCTTCATCTTCTTAGAGACCCATGCTTTTAATTGTACAACAACTGTTAGATTTCAAAAATTATAAATCCATCAAGTAATCTTAACGAGTGTTTTTAATTTTAGAGGTTTTAAGTTTAAATAGTTACGTCCGTATGTGTTTATATATTATTAATAATTAATTATTTTTAAATAAATATTATATTATAATATTATTCATAAAATAAAAGAATATAATGTTTTAAATTGACCATTTCATCCCTACAAATAATATATAGTTCAATTGCACATTCTAGGGGTTTGCACGTTCTAGGTGGCAAAGGAAGTCTTGTCATCAACTTGGATTTGAAGTTGGGACTCGAGACCTTGACTTGGACCTTCCAAGTTTTCCTTTCCATATTGCAAGCTATTTCCTCGTGTTTTCGTTCAATGCTTATATTAAGTAACCAAAATATTTTTTATTAAAATAAATATCTAGGATATTTTAGTTAAAATAGGTACTTAAAATATTTTATATCAAAATAGGTATCTAATCTATTTAAATTTTTTTCATTTAAGTTATAAAAAGTTGACATGTGATATTAATTAAATAATACCTTAGGTACTCAGATGAAAAAATAATTTTGATTAAAAAATATTTTTAGGTATATATCTTGATCAAAAAGATAACTCTAGGTACTTATTTTGATCAAAAAATACTTTAAGTATTTATTTTAACCAAAAAATATTTTAAGTACTGAAATAAAAAAAAACAATATATTTTAGGCACTTATTTATTATATAAGCCCAATGCGAATCATTATTAGTTTTAAGTTTAAAAATATCTAAAGCATGTGATCAAAAGTTCTTAATTGACATTTAAAAAAAACTATAAATTTAATATTCATTTTATTTTCTCTCCTCTTAGATAAAAATTATATCTTAATTATCTTTGCATTTAGACAAATAAAAAATATTTTATCATTATTATAATATTTATAGTAAAAAGAGAGAGAGAGAGAAATAACAATATGAAAAGAGAAACTGATTTTTAATTGCTTGTCAATTATAAACTTTACAAAATCAATATTCATAAGGCTAATCTTATAGTCATGACATTATGTAATATAGTTCAATTTTATTTTGTTTGAATAAATTAATCTTTTAATCAAAATTTTAAAAGAAATATTTATTTTAAGAAATTAGATTCGAACAACTACGTTTGTAGAATATATGCGTGTTGTCAATGATTAAGAATATGTACGTGTTTAATACCAGAAAGTGTACAAATCCTGGTTTTGCTTCCATAGCTTTTCCAGAATCCAGTAATTTGTGGAGAAATCTAAGGAAAAACAGTTTAATTTAAGATTGAAAAAATGCACGACTGAAAATGTTACAAAAATTATAATATTTTCGATTGGACGTAACCTAGAATATTAATTTTTTAACATTTTTAGGTTGGAAATTTTTTTTGTGATATTTTCGATTGGCTACTCAAAAATATTATGATTTCATAATATTTTCGATCACGTTAATTTACAATTATTCCTTAACTTTAAATTAGACTGTTATAAGGTATAACTACCCATAATCTACCAGCCTTATCAGTGTTCTTTTCAATACAACAACCAAAATAGTTGAATATATATATATATATAGAGAGAGAGATAAAAATAGTTGAATATATATATATATATATCTAGATAATTGGTTTGTATTATTTGATTAACATGTTTTACCCGATACCATTAAGTGCATGTATTGAGGATGAGTGTTCAAGACATTGATGAATAATATATATATATATATATACAAAAGTGCCCAATAACGATACAAGAAGTGTTTAATTCCAAACTAACATGCTCATCCGATTAATTCTGATGTATTTTCTACAGTAAATTTAGAATCTCTCGACGTCTTCAGGGTTGAACCAGATTTTTTGGCGTCTTGTTTGAGATCTCCCGGCGTCTTCAAACGTCTTGTTTGGAATCTACCGGCATCTTGAGGGTGTTGAATTGTTTATAGGTATCTCTAGGCGTCTTTAAGTTATCAAGAAAAAAATTTGGCCTTTTTATACAAATATCACCTTAACATAAATTAATTACTTGTTAGGTTCTGTTTAAGAATATTTTACGGATCTAACAAATTTTTAAATACTTTCAATAAATTTTTTATAAATTTTATATAAGTTTACTCAGTATATAATTCACCTAAAATATCAGTGGCACACCACTTAATGATGTTTCCATTGTAGCCCATTCTCTCTTCTTTTTACAATAATATTTTAACACCAAAAAGTATCGGTAAAAAATATACCGAAACTTTAGTATAATGTATTATAAAATATATATGTTTTTAGTTTTGTACAACTTAATATTAAATTTTAATTTAATTTAATATTTATAAATCATTAAATCGTTATTGTCGTGCTATTATTTTATAGGTGTTTAGGAAAAAAGAAAAAATATCTCAAAATTATATACAACTTAAATTAAAATTAAATAAAAAATAGTTAACATATATTTACATATACTATATCGAGAAGTGTATTTTGCACAAATTTAATAAAAAGGAAAGTGTCTTTTATCATGAATCTCGTACGTTGTAAGATCGAAGTTTATAAGTCCATCTTAAAAGATGTGTATGTCCTGTGTTATTTTGTAAAATAATATTTTTTAAAATATTTTATAATTAAATAAATTTATAAAATATCAAAACTTTTCATATTATTTAAAATGGTATTCTTATAATTTTATTATATCCGTAAAATATTCTTAAACAGTGTCTAATAAGTAATTACTTTATGTTAAGGTGATATTTGTGTAAAAAAGTCAAATTTTTTTCTTGACTTCACTCAAAGGCGCCTAGAAATCCCAATAAACAATCGAACATCCTCAAGAGACCGAAAATCTCAAATAAGACGTCGGAAGATCCCAAGCAAGACCCCAAAAAATCTGGTTCAACCTTGAAGACGGCGAGAGATCCTAAATCTACTGTAAAAAAACACCCCATTTAAAAAAATAATCGGATGAACACGTTAATTTGAGAATTAAACACTCACTGTAACGTTATCTGGACACTTCTGCCTATATATATATATATATATTAATTCAAAATTTTGGTATTTTTATTTTTAATTTATATTCATAGTGATGCGGTAAATATGTAATCAATTACAATGCCGACAGTGTTGTCACTAAAAGTGGAAAAGGTGGATCCATTGTTTCCTGAGGTTTTAGGCTTGTCTTCACTCCTCATGCATCAATTAGTGTGTCTATGTAAGATATATTACATGAAAAGTTGTCGTTTGTAGCAACTGAACATACTTTATACCATGTTCTTTAAATAATATTAGATTTTGAATGATTTTTTATAATAAAAATGGGTAATATGAATACTAGTATAGGCTATGAATCCTTATAATGTAGTTTGAATATTATTAAAATATCATTAGGCGAGTCGAATCTTTTGATGTTAACCCTTCAACTTGGTTTCATTCACTCATATTCTCTATGATTTACATTTTGAATAACATCACCGATAAAAGCAATTGTTGAACCTAGACTTCAATATTTTAGTGGATAAATTACCCATTTAGCACCACTTAACCTTTAATTTTTGTTTCATTTTAGTACCTCACCGCTTTTGGCCTCTTGAACGTGATTCCGACCTTCGTTTCATCGGGAAACGCTTCAGTTTCTCCAAATTGACAATAGACCCTTCGATTTCTTCATCCTGTGATATCCTTCGTCAACCTTCCGATGGACTTGAGACTGGATTATGTTGGTCGACTAATCATTCTTTCGTGGTCGACCGTTCAAATTGATCAACCATCCACCAAAGGTATGCTCCGTCAGCCCATCCGTTAAGTTTTAACATCATACTAAAATGAAACACAAACTAAACGTTATGTATGATTTTAAAAAAAGTAAAAATTTAAATATTAAAACATGTCAAAATTAATAGTTTAGATACTAAATACATAGTTTACCCTCATATATAAAGTCATGTGGATGAATTGATGACATACGGGAGAGGAATTGAAAAAAAAATGGCAAAAGCGTGCGTTTTGGGTGGTGGGAGTGGACTGGGGCCCACATTGATGGTGATTAGGTGAAAGGGGAACACGTTAATCCGGTGGGCCCGAGTTTTGACGATTAGGTGGGGAACCAGTTATGGCCCCGCTTGTCTTCTTGTCCTCTTCTTCAACCCTCCATCATCACAAAACACCATCCCCGTGTTTTGTGATCTCTTCCCCCTCACATAACATTTGGGCCCCACCCCATGACATGTGAGGTTAAAATGAATCGTCTTATATAGGTGGAGAGTCATAGTGGATGATAATATGTGCGGCCGGCGAACAATGACGGTGATCAGAATCGTTTAATTCTTGTTCGACGGGGGATTGTTTCCGTTTCACATGTCGCTAATGTCGAAATTCGAACTTTCATGTTCATTTGATACCCTTTAAAAGGATGATTACATAAACTGAAGATTACAAGAACAGCTACTGCCATAGAGACGAGAAACCAATTTGTTAAGAAAAAGGTTTAAAACGGTAAACAGGTACATCTGAAGAATCATAAAATAACAGCTACGAGCTACATCAGTAGGAAAACCAATTTTATGGCAACCCGAAGGCAGAATTAGTAGCATCTCCAAAGGAAATAGAAGTTCGCAGACCGATCGAACGAAAACAATGCACCGGAGTCGAACACAGATGCTTAAGCTATAGCTTTCTGCAGCTCACTGTGCACCTGCAAACGAAAGGACAGCGAAATCACTTGGTGAAGCGAAACATCGACAAGCAGCTGGCCATCGAATATGTGGTTAGAGAATACATACCTCACAAGATTTTCGAGCAACGCCCACACACCTTGAAGCACTGATGCTATCACTTTTAGACAGGCGAGACCGGGTGCTTGAAGTAGGTTTGCCGGAGGCTTCCGTAGTACCATATCCCAGTTCCCCCGATCCTTGCAATTTTATAGGGCTTTGAGAAGTTGCACGAGAAGCAGACGCTGCGGTACGCTTTTTCGGTTCATCAGTGGGATCGATATCATCACCGCAGACTCGTTCTCTAATAAATGAATGGCCATATCAGTAAACAAAAACAGCACACTCGAAATAATCGAAAGTAAGAAGATATTCGAGCACCTAGGCAAAGATGTATATTTCCTATGGAGGAGGATGTTGTCTTCATTTGTGCCGCATTCCTCGAGACAAGCAAATTGTTGCTTAAACTGATCAACGCCGCTGGATTGACACAAAACACATAATTGACTTGACATTAAACAGTATTTAGAATAAAAGGGGGGCGGAAACCGTAACCTAAGATCGAAATTTCAGATAGTATAAAACATAGCTTGAAGATGATAAATCCTAGTCTTGGCAGCAGCCGAGACCCGGAACCTCACTGTTATGATTGCCACTTAAAAATAGTTGGATGCCTGACCTTGGATACATGAAGCCAATGTGATCTTTGCCTTGAAGGTGCTCCTGAAGCATCTGTGGATGGTACTCTAATATCTATTCGATTATTAAAAGAAGATGAACCACGAGTGAACGATAAGTGAGAGAGGGAACCAAAACGGAGAACAATATCAACAAGGCAAGGACTAATATCATGCACATGAGTACCTCTCTGTAAATTAGCTCTCGGACATCATCTTCCGACAGCTTCCTTCTTTCAAATTCGAACTCAAGTTTTGAAATGGGTTCCATGGATGGTTCGTTGTCCAAATTTGCCAATCCTTCGAAGTACGGATCAGCTAGTGCCTGCATAAAGAAGAATAAAAAAAGTTAAGAAACAAAATAGAGTATGAAGGAGAGGGATCCATATTATTGAACTATAACTCAGAAACCCCTCGAGTTTACCTCTTCAGCAGAAGGTCGATCATTAGGATCAAATGCGATGAGACGCTCAAGCAAATTAAGGGCCAATGGTTCAACAGTTGGGAATTTTTCTGAGAAAGGAATGGGTTTCTTTTTTCTCATGCTATTCAAATACTTTCTAGCTTTTTCATTTTGAATCTGCAGATATTATTAAGAATCGAGATGGTTAGGAAACCGGATCTTCGCCATGTTTAGAATAAAGCTAGAAAGTAACTTAAAAGCGGCTCCCAACAAGAACCGATGGAAATTTTCTCCAATCAATAGGAGATAGCAGACCCTTGCAATTGTTTCCTCAGAGGGAGTGCCGAGCAAATCGGTCACAAGTTCCAATTGATCCACCACATTCCTCCCAGGAAACAAGGGTTTTCCGGTAAGCAACTCGGCAAATATGCATCCTACACTCCAAATATCAACAGCAGGGGTGTACTGCAGAAAACCAGGTTTTGGAAATCAATTAATAAAGTTCTTCAAGGAGTTTTTTTCAAACTTTTTAGCTCAAATAGATTCTAAAGTAAAATTCTAGCAGCAGCGTATGCATGTATACGAGGGAGAAAAATAGATTAATGAAGTATTTACATTTGAGAAAAATGAACCGCACAGCTCAGGAGCCCGATACCATCGAGTTGCAACATAATCCTTACCAAATAAACAATAATCATATGTATAGTATAGCCAGAAACATATGAACAATGGCAATAAATAGTAGAGAAACACTAGAGGCAAGAAGGAACACTTACAGTCCAAAAAATAGCTGAAGGTACATCAGTAAATGATACCCGAGCAAGTCCAAAGTCACAAAGCTTCAGTTTGCAGTCCGCATTAGCAAGTATATTTTTTGGCTTTAAATCTCTATGGAAAACATGTGCTGATAATATTGAAAGGAAAAGGTAAAAGAAAACAGGTCACAATCTTCATAAATTGAGAGAAAACTTCACAGAAATACATAGGTGAATAAAAGCAACCTGTGTGAATGTATTTTAGGCCCCGAAGAAGCTGGTACAAGAAAAATTGATGATGTTCAGGGGTTAGATTATTGTTAATCTTTATAACGTGGTGAAGATCAGATTCCATCAACTCAAAAACAACAAATATATCTTTAAATTCTCGTCGACATGGAGGAAGCATTATGTGCTTAATTTGAACGATATCCGGGTGTCGCAGCAGCCGTAGGAGTTTGATTTCTCTAAGGATGCGTATTGCATCAGAGGTGTGCTCAAAGATATTGGCCATCTTCTTAATAGCCACCTTCTCTCCGGTATGAGTATCTATTGCAGATGCAACCACGCCATAGCTTCCTTTACCAACTACTTCCTTTATCCCATATTGGCTCGCTTCGCCATATTCAGTGAAGAAGTCTTTGTCAAACATTTTCTGATCAAATCAACCATTAGATTCCATGTCAAAGAACACCATACGAAAAGCTTAACTATAAATCGGCTCACAGCGTGCTCGGAAGCAATACAAAGAAAGTAGATCTAACTACCTAGCATAGAATTAGAGATCGACCTTCCAAGCATCCGGATCCTTCTGATTTGAATTTCAAATATAGTACAAGTTAAGTGGTAAGTAGTAACACTTGAATTTCATGATTACATATGGTTTGATTTCGAATAAATTACCCTGTTATCGGATTTTTACCCTTATTTTTATGAAGTGGCTGCAATCATCTTCATAATTTGTGGAAAAGACCAAATCCTAATTCATAATCCTAAAAACCCATTTCCAGAAAAGGAGTAAGATTTTACTATTAGTTTTTTTTCTTCACAAAACATGTTCTTTTATGCTGATATCTAGAAACCCTAAGTTGTGAATTAGATGCAAATTTGTAGTATATTAAACAAACAAGAAGACGAAAGCATACACATCAAAGATGATTTTTTAATATTTTCCTCAATCCTCCGTGTCTAAAATTTCAAAAAATATAAGAAGAACAAGAGCTTGTAAGTAAAGGGAAGAAAAAGATAATTTGAATGAATAAGGAGCAAAAATAGAAATTACCCTTTCTTTAGGAGAAGAAGACGCCCAGGGCCCAGGCAGAAGCTTGAAGATTGATGACAAGAGCTGCAAATAAACTCGGTGAGAATATATAAAGCTTGGATATGAACGGCTCAAATAACACCTTATACGCAGAAATACGGCCAATCGTAAAGCGTATTTTATACGTATAAAGTCCATCAATCTCCAATCCAATTGGGGGGTGGGATGTTGACAAAACAACCCGAGCACGTCAAGTATTTAATATTTAATATTAAAAACATCTCCTTTATATCTTTTTCCGAAAAAAATAGGGTTAATGAATTGGCTCGAAATCCGAACCTTATCTTATCCCACTTCTACAATTGCAGTTCAGAAATCGGGAGGGGAAAGCAATGGGATTCGCTGCCGGTGAGACGGTGAGCTGGGTGGCGCTCCCTCGCTGCCTCCTCCGACAGGATCGTCTTTCCGGTTCAATTAATTCTGCCAATTGCCAACTTGCTGGCAACGAACACAATTTGCTTGGGGTGTTCTATTCGATGCTCTGCCGAATTGCAGGAACAATTCTCTTGTCGCTGTTACTAGCTCCATTCTTCAATGGAATTTTATTCTAGATTAAATATATAAATAAATAATTTTTCAACGGTTGTTATAAATAATAATCTCATTTCCACGATTTAGTTGAGAAAACATTAGAATTTCTTTTTGGCCAAAAAGATATTTTTCATCTGAAAAGTCAAAATAATATTTTATTCCCATCCCTTTAATGATCTAAATTAATATTTAGGGACTGAAATAAAAAAAAATTTAACTTGGGGATTAAATTTTACTTTATATTGGTCTCATTTCATATGGGATGGTCATAAATCGGATCTAATTTTTTATCGACCCGAATTCGATTAGAGTATAACATCCTTTCGTCTATCATTTTATCCGACTTAAATTTAGAGATATTCGATTCGATTTGAAATCTAACTCAAATTTTAAGATAAAAATCCACGTCCACACCGCTGCTCACACTTGGTATGACATGGGTATTTATCTATAATTTAGAGTAAATTATACGTTTAATATATAAATTATCAGTTTTGGTTCATTTTAGTATCTAAACTTTTAATCTTTTCAAAACCGTACAGAAAATTTAGTTTTTGTTTCATTTTAGTATCTCGTCGTTAAAAACTTTAGTTTTTGTTTCATTTCTGTACCCGTTCAAAATCTGACGTTAAGTTTTGAAAAAGATTAAAAGTTTAGGTACTAAAACATACCAAAATAGTTTAGGTACTAAACACGTTCAGTTTTAACAGCGGGCACGAAAATAAAATGACACTAAACGTTAGGTATGGTTTTAATAAAAAAAATTAGGTATTAAAACAAATCAGAACTGGTTATCATTTTATTAGGTAAAATGAAGTCTCAAATGAGAATTGTCTGTCCAGCTCAGTTGGTAGAATTCAAGGCTCTTAATATTGGGGTCGTGAGATCGAGTCCCGAAATTATGAATTGCCCACCGTAGGACTTGATCCCACGACCCCAATATTAAGAGCCTTGAATTCTACCAACTGAGCTGGACAGACAATTCTCATTTGAGACTTCATCACTGTTTTCACCCCTGCTTCCATGTGTATATAGGCCATCAAAACCCATCAAATCGGGTGAAATGTCCATCACTGTTTTCACCCCTGCTTCCATGTGTATATAGGCCTTTTAGCCAAGGGATATAAAACACTAGGTGCACCCGTGAATAAAGGTGCAAACTTTACACTATGTGCATACTTCTCGTCTTGTAGCTAAAAGTTTCGTGAGAGATTCAGCCATGAGAACTCAAAACCATCGTATAAGTTTTGCACAAACACTGTTATTACAACGAAACAACAATCTGAACTTCATAAAAGTTGTAACCGCCATATCCATTTACAGAGAGATCAGAGATGGATTCAAGAGAGGAACACCTACAAACAAGGAGAAACCACATAGCATTTCACCATTTCGTCGATTTACATTTAGCGGCTTTGCTATTGTCCCTTAAGTAAGGCCCGAAGTTCTTCATAACTTCTTCGTACGTCGGCCTCTTGTAGTCCACAGCCTGCAGCCAATTTATAGAGACATCTCAGAGAAAAACGCTGGGCGGTGAATGTATCGATCGTAATGTAGTGACCGTATGCGGCGTAATACCTGCTCAACAACTTCTTCGGGGGTTGTCCACTTCCACTCGGCGAACTCTGGGTCTGCCTCACCGGTTGCTAAGTTGATCTCGCTCTCATCTTTCGTTAATCTCATGAGAAACCTGTCGAGCATACGAGCACAAGACAACTATTTACCACACACACACTATAGATGGCACCAATGAGTTTCTCTTTAATTAGCAGATGTTGCAAGAGAAAAACTCGTGCCATTCTACTTCAACATGATTAATAGATCGTGCTTGTTCGAGAAATGCTAAAAAACATAGAGAGAGACATGCCGCAATAGGCATGTTAGATGCATCAAACTGCACCAACAGTGCTGTTGCCACTAGCTGAACTATAAAATCAACATTGAAAATTAAACTAAGCCATTTCAAGCCAGCACTGCTTTCTTGTAATCGACAAGGACACCTAGATGTGAGCATGTGTTATCGGAGAAGGAAAGACGAACGGGAAGAAACGAGAAACAAACCATTTCTGTGCCTGCCCATGCCATTCACCTCCCCAGAGTCGGTTCACTTTAGCCTTCACGGCGGGAGGAAAATCATATGTCAACCAATTAGGAACCTGCAAAAACACAATGTCAATTAGGTGCATACGATGTAGGAATTGTTGTTTAAGAAGATGATTCTACATTAAGTCCATCTTATCTAAGCTCGGTACTCGAATCCGAAGATCTGTAAGAACGAAAAAAATAACACATAATAGTACAAGCGCCCCTGCCACCAATGTTCAAGAGTCAGAGAAAATTTGCAGCATAAACAAAGCAAACCTCAGCAATGATTTCAGCAGATCCTACTCCAGTTTCTTCTCTCAATTCCCTGATAGCTGCAGATCTCGGTTCCTCGCCGTCTTCGATACCGCCCTGAGTTAGTCAAATCCAAAAACTATAAACAAGCTCAAACATATACTCGTGCACGAAAGAAATCTCACAGCTTGCTGGTATTGGTAAATCATTTCTTTTAGCTAGTGATGTGCAAAGTCTGAGAAAACTGTAAATAAACTTTGGTAAAAACGTGAACGACCATACAGTTAAATAGCAAATGAACTAACCGGCTTCGATTGGGATACAGAGATAAATTTGAGCCATTGGGGTTAATTGAACTCTCAGTAAGCAATCAGCAAATAGAGATTCAACAGTGTATTACCTGAGGCATCTGCCATGCTCCCGGAACATTCAATCTGGAAGCTACAAAACCTGCAAGTATACCCAAAAAAAAATATATATATATATATATATATATATATATATATATATATATATTCAGCTTTTTTAATCCATATATTCCTGAAGAACAAACCCATAAAAAACAGAAAAATCACAAAAGTCTATCACTTCTTCCAAAAAAAAAAGCAGAAAATCCAAATTTGACTTAATTTCAATTTAGATTAATAAGATTTCAACTGAGATTAAAGAAAAAAGGAATAAAGGGTACCTGATTATCAGAGTTGACTAGACAAACACCAACGTTGGGACGATAACCAGGGGGCAGTCCCTCCATTCTTAAATACCCACTATTTATATTAAATGCTAGTTCTTTCAGAGTAAATGCTGTGTTTTCAGTCTGAGGGATTCAAAGAGAGATCAGAAGAAGATGATGGTGATGAAAATGAAGAAAATATATTTTTTTTATTTGGGAAAAAGAAGGTATTTTTATGAAAAATTTGGGGTGTTGGGTGGGGAGGTGTTATTCATGGGAATGAGTGACGCTGACCTTGCACAACAATGGTGAAAATGGGTGACTGTGTTTTATAATGACCATTGCTGACTCTTATCCTGCGCACCCCACTGTGTCAATGTTACTTTTTAGATTCTGCCAGCTTTTTTATTCTGCCACTCTCGCTCTGAATACCGTCATCTTTCTATTTGAATTTTATTGTACATAAATTTTACTCGAATTTATTTTAATTTAGATGGAATATATTATTGGATAAAGTACACAAATGGTCCCCAACTATAAGGTTATATTTTATTGAATCATTTGACTATTAAAAGTTACAAAATGGTCTCTCGACTATAAGAAGTTGCTTTTTAAGTTCACCGACTGTTAAAAGTTACAAAATGATCATTGAATTATTCATTGTGTTCCAAACTCGTCATTTTCTGTTAAAAAATTAATGCCAGTTTGAGTTGAATATTAACCTGTTAGCTAAGAAATGATATAATATGAACCCAGAATCTCAAATAATTATCATATCACAGTTAACAGGTTAACGTCTAGCTCAAACTTTCATATATATTTAATGAAAAAGGACGAGTTTAGAATACAATAAATGTTGGGTGACCATTTTTTAACTTTTAATAGTTGAGGACTTAAGAAAGCAACATCTTTTATAGTTAGGGGATCATTTTGTAACTTTTAATAATCATATGACTCAATAAAGTAATACTTTATAGTCGAGAGATCATTTGTGTATTTTACCCTATATTATAATACGAGTGATTTTAGTTATAGTATATATGCACTAACCTTTAATATAATTATTGATAATTAGTATTCAAACACTTACTTTTATTTAAAAAAATTAAAATCCCATCAAATTAAACCAATTAGTAATTACTTACGTAAGTTAAAAACATAATTATTATATTTTTTTATTCTAATATAAAAATATAATTATAAGTAATACGTGTCTAAATAAATAATAATATAATTATTATGAAATATAATATAAATACATTAATTATTAAGAATATCAACTCATCAAGTGGTTTCGATGATTAAAGCAAATATTGTTATTCCTATAAATATTGAATTCAAATAATTACGTTTATTCATGTGTATGAATTATTAATGATTAAAAATTTTAAAATGTATATTATTTTATAATCAAGTTAAATTGTTAAAAAAATTAAAGTTCTCGTGATTTAAAATGTACATTGAATTTAATTTTTAATTAACGTAATCTTATTTTCAAAAAAAAATTAGTTGACTCTATTCCCATATGTAATGGGATAAGTGAGAGGTAAGGTAGTAGGCTGCACCCAACACCAGGTTGAGAGCAGATTTTGTGGAAGACCTCCGTTATGAATTGTCTTCAGTGGGACTCGATCCTATGACCGCAAGGTTAAGAGTCTTGCGCTATACCAACTGAGACAGATCGTGAACTACTCGAGATCGATTTGGTTAAAGCTCGATTAATATCAGACTCGAAAGGACTTAACTCAAGCTCTTAACAAGCTGAAAGCGAGCTACTTGATACTCGACTCGAAAAGTTCGTGAGCAACTCAAAAGTATAATATATTAATAATATTAGCATTTACATGTTGATTTTTAAAAAAATAATGTAGTATAAGATTTTTATGTATTTAAAGTTTAAGTTTAAGTTTTTAATCGAGTTAAATTTAAGATTTTTTTCATTTAGAGCTTTAGTTCATGGTTTTGAGTTTGATTCGAACTTAAAATTTTTTGGTTAATGATTATTTGAGTTGAGTCAAATTTTATTTTAAAATTTTTGAGTTAATTTAAATTTAATAATACTCGAACTCGACTTGACTCGTTTAATACTAATTACATTATGAAAATGGCTGACAAAAGGAAGAAAAAGTTAAAACACAAAAAGTAGTGGGCGAGAGAAAGGCGTTGACTTTCTGTGGAGAGAGAAAATCTGTTTGATAACAAAAGCATCTTTTTATTTTCGTTGGATTTCGCTTTTTTTCTTATAATAATTATTTATTTATTATTTTTGGCATCATCCAGTCCACCAAGTGAACAAAGTCAAAATCCTTTTTACACTTGTCATAATGAGCATACTTCCCCCACTCGTCTCTTTGGAGCGTCTTCCTCACGATCTGTTTCCTTTTTAATTTTTATTTTTTAATTTCCCTTTTTATAACTGAACTAAAAATAATAATAATAATAATAATAATTCGAATACCTAATATTATGTATATATTGAATTGTAATTATTACAAAATTAAAACCAAAGGTATATAAAATATTATTTATATTGCATTTTAGCAACGATAGATGTTTGGCATGTGAGAATGTCAAATTAAAACAATGATTTCGGGATTTTAGTTCGTGAAGTGTTTATGTTTCTTAGTTGGCTTTGAAAAGATACCAATTGTAAAGTTCGAATCAATAATTACAGCTTTGATTCTAGAGGAAAAAAATGTTCTTTGGTTTTTTTTCTCACAATGTTGATGAAATAGATAGGGATTTATTTAAGATTGATTCGGTCAAAATTTGATAAATATTCAACTCAAATGGATTTGACTTGAGATCGAGCGTGATTCGAGTTCTTAAGAGCCGAAATAAATTACTTGATACTCGACTTGAAAAGCTCGTAAATAACTCTATATTAAGATTTTATCTTTTAAAAAATAAAATTATTAATAACATTAACATTTATATGTTGATTTTTTTTTTAAAAAAATACAATATAAGACTTTCGTATATTTAAAATTCATGTTCGAGTTTGAGACTTCAATCAAGTTAAGATTAATATTTTGTTTCTTCATTTCAAGCTTTTTAAGCTTTAGTTTATGGTTTTGAGTTCGAGTTGAATTTAAAATTTTTAAACTCGCGAGTTCTCGTATTGAGTCAAGCTCGACTCAACTCATCCACAACCCTATTCACAACAATTATGAAGTAAAAAAAAAAAAGCAGCAGCAATCACAATAACAAAATTTCAACACATGTATGTATTATGTATATCGAAATGTCATCCAGTTTAGTTGACAGAGCACAAGGCTCTTAACCTTGGGATCATAAGATCGAATCACACGGAAGACATTTCATAATTCGGAGGTCTTCTACGAAAACTGCTCTCAACCTGACGTTGGGAACAACCTACAATCCTACCTCCCCGACCCATTACATATGAGAATAAGGATCAGCTAATTTTTTATGAATCATGTATACCGTTTACTCTGGATTTTAATTGTGGAATGGGAAATGAAGGAATCGGCCGAATCAGAGAAATTCCACATCACAGTTTTAATTTGACTGCACAGTGATAAGAATCTATGTTAAGTTTGCCGAGCAATTTCAAAAGTTTTAAACAAAACTACCACAAAATATTCAAATCTTTGATTGCAACTTCAGCAGGCCTGCGTTTAGGGTATATTTCCGTTCTCCTTCATAAAGTACACAGCAATGGCAAGTAGTACCATCAATACGATGATAATCCAGCTCATCCCACCTGTAAAATTAGATATAAAAATAAATTAAAATGGATGTTTTCATGTAGGAAATACAGATAAGCTGCTCCGTTGCAATGGAGCGTTGCCACGTCACTCATGTCGGTGCCACAGCCCCTCAGGCAACAAGGCAGAGAGAGCATATAACACTGAACCAAATGCTTTGGTGGTTAGGTTAGGATGTTAGCCTAGGTAATAGTTAGACTTTACCTTCTTGATTATGTCAACTTGAAGTAATATTTCATTTCGTTTAATTTAATTCATATGAACTGTGTCTTCCATGGGTCTCAAACAATGTTTGAAACCGGTAGAGTAACGAGCACAGAGCTTGATGGTTGTCGCATGTCCCTTTGAGTTGGCAGAAGTCGAACTTAAATTCAAATGCTAATAACATGTATTAGGCAAAGACATGTCCCCCCGGGGGGTTTAGATTTTAGCTGATGCTGCCATGAGGCTACAGTGGGGCGGCCATTTTCAATCCAACAAAGTGCATATGCATCTTCTGAGTCAATGAAACTAAAAAAAAAAGCAACTGGGACAAGGAACCTACCGCTTTTATTCTTGTCCTTGATTAGTGTCACCCTAGCACTTGAGTCCAGAGATGCCGAAACCACAGACCTGTTTTCAAATTGCACCCCTCAGTATCATACTTATAAGGAGTGCCGCACAGAATAATTTAATAAACGCATATATTGTGTACAAACCATGAATCAGGAGAGAATGTCAATGCTGTAACCAAACCAAGGTGAGCTTTTTTTACCATCATTTGAACCTTCATATTGGCAGCATTTATGATAAAAAGGTCTCCTCCAACTGTTCCACTGCATGTAAACGAGAAAACGAGAAATTACTAATTTTCTGAAAGCAAAGTCTTGTGTATAAGCTCCATTTAGCAAGCCATGCCATACAAAATCTACAAAATACAGAAGTTGCAGGGGGAAACAGACAGGATAATCATCTAATACATTAAGGACCAAGAAGTCTTAAAAGGAAAGCTCGCGATGGGGCCTTAATCACATTTGTACTCCACTTTTGAGTACAAAACGGATATAAGATAACAAAGTAACAATTCTTACACTGCAAGGAACTTCCCATCAGATGAGACATTGAACGCAGATATAGCTTCCCGGACTACTCGACTTGTGCATATTCTCTTCCATGTGGTTGTGTTATATGTTAGAATACTTCCGCCATGGTCTGTCAAGATGAAGTTATGATGGTAAATTTGAGAAATAAAAGACCTCTTTTTACTACACAAAAAAGCAGAGTCCAAAGCTATATCTTTACCTGTGACTGCAGCAATATATAGATGTAAATTCTTATCGTTAATTGGAGAAAATCTGCAGAAGGCAAAAACCTCATCCTGTAGTTCATATAAACAAAATAAACCAATTCAAACCCAATACATAGAAAATGATCAACCTGAATAATCAGAAAAGATTGAATGTTCCCTAAATATTCATGACTGCCAGAAATCTGACAAAAGACTATGGATAGCTAATTAAATTGTTAGGTGGTTGCACATTTAGATAGGGCTTCATTTTACAACATCAAAGATAGATATTCACTTGAAGCTAATAATCTAGAAATTCTCCTTGTTCGTAAATAGCTTGAAAAGCTAGCACTAACAGAAAAAACACTTGTAAACTTTGATTCACTCACTCACATTTCCCTTTGCCAGAGAAGTAACAACTTCTGATGATGTTACATCCCAAACCCTACAAAGGGCACTTCCCAATGAGACGAGAAATTTTCCATCACAGCTGCAATACAAACAGTCAAAAACTCATCAAATAAATAATTACTAAGGAGATGAATTTCCCTCCGCTTTGACAATACCCTCCCTTTAAAGCTGCAGACAGGGAAACGAAGTTTGCAAGTTCAGACCTAAAATCCAAGTTCTTGACAGATGAATGAGCTTGAGCTTCATTGAGAATTATTTCCATGCTAGGCCATTTAAAAACCCTTAAACTGCCATCCTGTACTGCACCAAATCAGAACATAATATGGTTGTATTGCGCCAATTTTTTTTTTAAAAAAGAAAGGTGCAAATTGCAATGCATTACACTCATGCAAAAAAATGGTGAAATTCAGAAAGAGAATATAACAAACACTAATGAGAAGGGTTCCAATCCAAAACTGATCTGAAAAGAAAAATCCTATAAGTTGCTATAATCTGCCTTTTAAAAGGGTAACCACAACTGAAGTATGAAACCCCCGTGCAGAAGCTATTATTTCCACTATGGAACCAAAAGAAAGACAAGGGCAGAATCTACAGTACTAGAGAGGGCAGCAAAATAGTAATAGAAATGTTATACGTTTGGTGCAGTTAATATCTTTGGTTTTTTCCTTTTCTTTTTTCCATCATCATATGTGGTGTGGTAAGGGAGAAAACAACAGCAAATCAATTGAATTAAAGCTGAAAACAAGTAAGATAGAAGTCAAAAGTCTAAACATAAGATTACAAAAAAACCTTTAGTTTATGAAGCTATAAATTAAAAGGTGGTAATAAATCTACTTTTCAGCTCGTTAGAAATAGGGAACAATTTAATCCCAGACCTAGATTAAAGCTCTAGAGATAACTAATAATCATAGCCAGTCCATCCATGTCTAATGTCTAATAATTAATACATAGAACTGAAATAATAAAATGACATAAAAGCATTAGCCCCTGCATCAATATGTTTTCATAATCCCAGTCTAACCATGGGGATAACCTTGCTGCATATTGCCTAATGTGATTCATCATGTGAAAATATACTAGCATATGCTTTTTAATTTTATAGAAAAACGTGGCTCGACTTTCCATCATTTCAGATGATTTGAGAAATAGCAAAGACAACAGTTTTCCCACTTTGGTTAGTGACAAATACTGCAACCGAGTTAATCCAACAACTAGAAAGATGAAATGGATGTTGTACCTCGCCACCAACAGCCAGTATGGAACCCTCACAGTTAAATGTCAGTGCTAGCTGTTGACCTACGTCTTCTAACTGGGTCAGTACATTCTCTGAGACCTTGACACCCAGTTTGTGGACTTCACTGCCCTCGGAATCTTTCCACTCAAACAACCTGAAGATAAAAAATAATGACATGTGATATTCCTTAAACTACTTGCAATGATGAAACTAACCATAGAACACAATACTAACAAGGATGCAAATCACAAGTGAGCCAATCAAAAAGGAGCACAATAAATAGCCAAAACCAAGGTAGTGCAGCAAAAATCACACAAGAACTTCCTTTTTGATCCTAGGTGTTGCATGTGTTTACATCTATGAAAATCATATTTTAAAATTAAGAGCAGCGAAAAACTCCTTGACTATATGCTGACATAATTTCAGGTACACCTTTATAATAGGGTCCCACTTCTATGCTATTACTCGTCCTTTTACGTTTCTAGAGTATGCAATAGAGGCAGAGTAATAATGTTACCTCCAAGGCAGTCATATTATAATAGCAGTCTGCTTCCACCTCTTAATGAAGGGATGATTCCTCACATATGTGTATTAATTTCTAACTAACGTATCCAAAAGAGTCGAGATTCCTCACAAGAACTATGTACGTATAACCAACAACTATACTAAAAGGGAACTTTTTCACCAATCTTAAAGATAATAACGTTAGAACTTCATGGAAAAGGAGTTAAAGAGTTAATTATCTTTTATATAAATAGAATGGTTGATATGATGAAGAAACTGATTTGTAACACTTATTTGAACTATTTTAGACTTTCAGTTAGTGACTTTGTCCTGCTTACAGAACAAGAAAACAAAATCCCCACTAAAAAAAGAATTTGTAGCACCAATGGATTTGAGGTGATTCAGACAAAAGCAACGTAAAGAATGAATAGAACCTCTTGTCAATACTGAAATTAATTGGTTAAAACGAAGAAATGCTTTTGTCTATCAATTACTCTGCAAACTATAGCACGACACTTTAAAATCCTCTAAGGATTCTCAAGATCACATTTCCCTTATCAAATTACGTGAGCTGGGATAAACAATATCATAGATGCCATGAAAGTTGAAAAACACAATGAGAAAGAAGAAGAAATGAGTCAACAAAGAAATGAATAAAAGAAAAATAACCTGCAACTCTGTTGAAATGAGCAGAGAATGCCATCTCCATGCGGATGAACAGTCATTCGATAAGGCAAATCAGAACCAGTATCATGCTTAACCTTAACAAACAAATAAATGAATAAAATTAGAAAATTTTACCATAGGAGGAAGAAAGAACAAATTAGAATCAGTAGCTTACAATCAAAATTAGGCAACATTTCACTTATTCAAAATTACTCAACTAAAAGATATATATCTAATATTTTGAGAAACGCAATTAAAAGATCTAAATAATTCAAACAATTTCCAAAACGAAATCCTCGAAATCTACTTACAGGTTGATCAGAGAGCGAATTAGAGGCGAGATCAACGTGGGAGACGACGATTGCATTGGGGATGCCGCTACGGCCTTCGCCGCCACCGCCGGCGAGAACGACGTAGTTTAGTGGTGTACTAGTCTCGTCATCGTTGGGCGGAGTTGGATCTTTTTCCACTTTCTTTTCCTCTTCAACCTTTTCTTTCGAGGTGAGCTTGGATCTGACTTGGTTGTAAGGAACCCAGCCGGCTCCGTAGAACGGAATGCCGTATTTTTGGAGATCGGAGGAGGCGTCAGTCATGATTCTACAATTTGGGTGACAGAGCGACAGAGGATTTAGGCTTTTATTTGCTACTGCTGCTCAGCATTTGTTTTGGGTAAAATACACTATTACTCATCGAACTTTACGTGATCTTTTCTATTTTACTCATCATATTTTTCATTTTTCTTAATTTACTTACTAAACTTTCAAATTACTCATGTTTTGGTCACTTTAAATTATTTTATCATTATTTTTGTATAACATTACATTTTTTTATTATTTTAAAATATAATTTTTATTATTATTTCGAATATCGAATGTGGTTGATAGCGTACGGTAATTATTTTAAGCATTTTTAAATTAAATAATAATAAATTATTATTTTATTATTTATTTTAAATTATTTTATATTAAATAATAATAATAAATATTATATCATGCAATAATAATAATAAAATAATATAGAGTGATAAAAAAAGGAACGATTCGATAGTTCAGTAAATAAATTAAAAAATTTAAATTCTAATGAGTAAAGTATAAAAGAGTAAAATTTAGTGGGGAATTGTGTATTTATCCTTTTATTTTATTTTATTGACTATTTTGTTTTTGATTTTTAACTAAAGCCTTTTACTTTATTGTCAATTATTCATAGAACCCTTTATATTTGAAGAAGATTTTATTTTATAATGTACATTACTGCATTTCCACTTAATTCGTCAAATAATTTTGGGTTTGGTCTAATTCGCTACTTCTTTATTATTTTTTAATAAAAACAATTTTTAATTAAATATATTATTTTAATTAAATTAAATTAAATTAAATTAAAAGGTACTTCAGTTCAGATTTTAGTATATATATTTACTTAACAATCGAACTAAAAGTAAATCAAAGTTAATAAAGCTAACCGAAATCAAATTAAATTATTGTGACCTAAATCGGTTTTGATTTTTTAAGTTAATTGCACTATATGTCCTCAAACTATAATTTTAATCTAAATTGATTCTCGGATTTTTCAACATTTTAATTTTATCCTTAAATTATAACTCTCATTCCAAATCGAGCCCCAAACTTTTGGAAATTCTGAATTCATCTCCAAACTATGACTTGATCTAGATTAATCCCTAAACTTCTAAATCTTCTATTTTTATTCCTAAACTTTTGAATGATTTTAAAAAAACATTATTGGAATATTCAAAAGATTAAGATCAATTTAAGATAAAAGTTATAATCTAATAATAAAACTAAAATTTTTAAAAGTTTAAAGAATACTTTCAAATAAAAAGCATAATTTAAATACATTAATTCAAGTATTTTTTTCTTCTTAATTCTATAAGTTCATAAATTATTTATTTATTTTTTGATGAGATGTCTAGACTCTAGTTCACTTTATGTATATAAAATACAATTTTTTATTTGTTTAATTTATTAATTTATTTTTTTTATTGATATTAATTTATTAGTTCAAATAAAATAAAATAAGTACATTACGACGATAATCCTTCTAAATTAATTTTTTACTTATTAATTTAAGGTAATTAAAATGATAGTATATGTTTCAAAGACTCATAATCATTTAACAATGAACGTTTAAATATGTTATCATTACTGGTACTCGGAGTCAGATCTTTAGAGATAACAATCATACTTTAATTATTAAGGTAACTTGGTCCATGCAATTTTTTAACTTAATGGACCTAATACTTTTGTAACATCCGCAATACCGGGTTAGTGACTAAATTGAAAAGTTTCAGAATTTGGTGATCAATTTAGGGAAAAATTGAAAAGTTTAGGGATTTAAAGTGTAATATTTTGATAGTGGATTAAATGGTAATTAAGGAAGAATTGAAAGGGTATTATGGTCTTTTTATGTAAAAGATAATTATCTCTTATTTAAAGAGATAAGCTGATGGGTGAGGAAGTATCTGGAAAGCTACATTCTTCTTCCTTCTTCTTCCCGTTGGTTTACTTCATAAAGGTGAGTTTAATTTCAGCTTCTTAATTCTTGAATTTATAAATTAGTTTTGATTCTTTGGGTATTAAATAAGCTTAAGGAAAGCTTATTTGGGATTTAAACAATAAGATAAAGGAATTAAGAAAGAATTTGTAATATGAGTTTTAAGATGAAATTTTGATATGGTATGGTTGTTGAAGTTTTATGGATGAATTTGACTTGTCATCAATCTAATTAAGAGATTTGGAGTGATAGAATTGGATTTAGAACATATAGAAAATTTGGTATGATTCTTGAATTACATATGGAAGATAGGATTTTGAGATTTAAGATGAAATAAATGAATATAAATTGGTTTAAGTATGTGTACTAGAGTTAAGAATGAAAAGGGGATGATATATGAAGTGTTGAGCTGAAAATGAAGTGATTTTCGAGCTAAAAATGTGATTTCTGGGCAAGGGGAATCGGTACCCATTCAAGGGGAACCGATACCCCCTCAAACGAACATAGAATTCCAGAATGCCAGAGGGGAACCGATACCCCCACAGGAGGGAACCGATTCCCCCTAAATGAAAATATAGAATTTGATTCATTAAACCGGTTTAAGTTATTAACATCAAGTTTAAAGTTTAGGCTTCTGATAGTTGTTTTGAAATGATATATTTATGTAGATATTGAGCCTAAACAAGTTCCGGAATAATCAAAGGATTATAATCGAATCAAAGCAAAGCTAAGGTGAGTGCAATTTATTTGTACTTATTTTATTAACATTGGCTTGTGATGAGCCAGTGATGGAGTTACTATGGTAAGAAGTAACTTCTAAATTGTTATGTGATTACCATGTATGCATTAATACATAGAAATAGATGGATGCTATGTTATAAGAATTATATGCTCAAGTGAAAATGCAACATATGATATATGTTATTTGACATGACATGCATGGTTACATGAAAGAAAGCTATGTGACTACATGTATATGTGAAAGAAGCTATAAGCTTATATGCACATGTGATATACGTGATATGAATTACATGAAATGATTTACATGAATACATGTATATATATATATATAATACATGTGATATGATATGAGATATATGGTTACACATACACGTGGTATGTGACAGAAGAGAAAGAACAAGTGATACGAAAGGTATAAATAAATGCCCATAGTATATGATACGAGAGCTATAGGTATAGTTGGCATGCCAAGAGTCGAGGGTTTTACCTATGTCTTTCGAGACATATGGACAGTATACCTATGTTCTAAGGAACATATGGACAGTTACCGAGGATCTTTATGACCTCTGGACAGTTACCGAGGATCTTTATGACCTCTGGACAGTTACCGAGGATCTTTATGACCTCTGGACAGTTACCGAGGATCTTTATGACCTCTGGATAGTTACCGGGGTCTTTGTGACCTCTGGATAGGTCCTTCGGGACATTTATATGAGCCGTGGTGACAGCATAGTGGTGCACAACCTCAATAGACTCACATATCTACAGTTCTCACAGGTGCACATGGGCTAATAAGAGATAACATGGAATGTACTGTATATGATATATGTGTGTTAGTGATTATAGTATATGCTATAAGATATATGATATGAGCTTAATTGATTATTTGAACAAGATAATAGAAATATGAAAGGTGATAATATGATAATGATAGGAAAGAAGATAATTATATATATATATCTATATGAAAGGTGCATAGTAGGAATCATTACATGTATATGTGGGTACTGGGTATGGTGCTTGTATGTGATATGTTAGTAGAAATTGTTCAAGCATGATTACGAGTTAGAGTTTTATTATATGTTTTATGCCTCACTAAGTCAACGACTTAGCGTTTGATTGTTTCACACGTAGGTTACAGAAGTGAGAAGAGTAAAGAGCTAAGAGGAGCAAGACAGGTCAGTTCTCCTTACCCAATTGTCAGATCAGAAAATATATGTACGGTATATAGAGTGTAGTTGGCATGTAGTCTAAAGATATAAATTGTATGAACTCTGATATATTTTGTAAACGTTTTGAATGAGTTAAATGTTATCCAAGTTTTTAAATTACTCACTATTTTATACGAATAAATGTTTGAAAAGTCAATGTGACACCTCATACTCGTATCCGGGTCAGATACGGGTCGGGGGGTGTTACATTTAATGGTATCAGAGCTAAGGTTTAGCCGATTCTCGGCATAAACCGAAGTCCAAAGTATCATAAAAAGTATACATGCCGACATAATGTAGAAAATTTTCTGATCTGATAGGGAAAGGAGTGTACTGTCTTGTTAATAGAGTTAAATTATTATGTTAAATAAGATATGTGAATACCAGAGAATGATTTATAAAATTTATATATATGTTTATATGATATGATGGATGATATGTGAACATATGCAATTGACATATGTTATACAATGTGAATTGGATGATTATACGCACACGTGATATCAGATAGAAGAAATGATATGAGCACATGAAAATATTAGAGTTTCCAAAGTAAAATACAAGACGATAGACCTGAAGGTAATAGCATTCACCTGCCCTGGCCAGGCAGGGAGAAGAGCGAAAACCTCAGGGAATGTCTGTATAAGATTAGAGAATGATTCATGATGTTGAATGATATTCCGATGTGTTTTTAAGTGTATACTTCGTTAACTCATAGAATGAATGTATCGAAATAGTTAAAAGAGTTATGAGCACCCGATCTCAAGGGTGAATTTGAGGAAGGCTCTGTTGTTACAGACCTTTGGATAAATGATATGAAGATAATGCTAGAAGATGTTCATTTCTCCATAGTGGAAAAAATTTTAAATTGAAAAGTGTGTTATTATGTGGATAAGATAGAATATGGTGAACATGTGTCACCATAAGAATGTTAAAAAGATCTAATGACGTGGTGAGTACTTATAGAAGAACTTAAGGATAAGTGCATCAGTGACAAGTGTATAAGATGTATAAAGTCAGAGCTTATGAGTTTGAAACGAAGTGATAGTATTGAGCATAAACAAGAGTATGTTTATGATAAGGGTTTGCAGTTAAGATGGAAAGAGTTAGCGTTGGCTAACTAGAGTATGTGATAAAAATGTACTGGAATTATAAGATT